TATAACAAAACATTAGAAGATCATAAAAAACATTTGCGAATGGTCTTGCAGAAGTTGCACGAAGGCAACTTCAAATTGAATCCGAAGAAGTCTTTTTGCTAAGCCTGAAGTTTTATACCTAAGGCATATAGTAAACGAAGAAGGATTAAGACCTGAAGAAAAGAAGATTACAACAATCAGGGATTGACCACAAACCAAGACTATAACTGAACGAAGGTCTTTCTTAGGACTAACTGACAATTATAGGGAGTTCGTCATAAACTTCTCCTTGATAGCCGCTTCTATGAGGAGACTACTGACAAAGGATAAATGTCAAGAAGACTTCAGTTGGAAAAATTAGCCAACTCTACATATGAGAGGGAATTGTGTGACTTAGTAGCTGCACTAGGTATCTGGAAACACTACTCGTTAGGAAGACACTTCACTGTTTACTTTCGTCACTTTTCATTGAAGTGGATCAAGACTCAGCCTACACTCTCTGACAAGTTGGTAAGATACTGCACTAGATACTGGAAACGCTATTTGTTAAGAAGCCACTTCACTGTCTACTCTGATCACTCCACATTGAGTGGATCAAAACTCAGCCGACTCTCTGACAAGTTAGTAAGATGATCATTCCTTGATACATTTGACTTAAGGTGAAAATCATCAAAGGTAAATCTAACGTGATTGCGGATGCTTTGTCCAGGCGTGCAGATTTCTTTGGAACGATGGACTCCTATCTCAATAAATAAACTGAAAGAACAGATCTGTCAGGGTTATGGGAGTGATTCTATTTGGAACCCTATCATCCAAATTTTAAGAGAGAACCCTGAGTTATTTCCTGAATATCGAATGAATGATGAATTACTCTTCTTACTGGATAAAACCGAAGAACGATTGTGTATTCCTCAGTGACACTTAGAACCAATCAAAAGCTAAATAATTCGGGAACGTCACGATGGAGATGGTCACTTTGGTTTCAAGACGACGTATGCAATTGTATGAGAACGTTTCGAGTGGAAAGAAATGAAGGAAGGTGTACTAACGTATGTGCGTACTTGTCTTGTCTGTCAGAGGAACAAGCCCTCACATGAGAATTCGATGGGACTACTGAGACCGCTTTCTATTCCAAGTGATCCAGGTGAATCTATATCTATTGACTTTATGAGTCTCACGAAAAGTCGGAATGGCAACAATCAGGTGAAGGTCATCGTGGATAGATCTTCAAAGTATGCTATGTTCATTCCTTTGCCTGCTGAAGGTAAAACCGAATTTGTTATTCAGAAGTTTCAGATGCGATGGGTTTAGAGTATGGATTTCCCAAAACAATTATCTCTGATAGGGATTTTCGGTTCACTAGTCTGCAATGACAGAACTCGATGGAAGTCCATGGGACCAGGTTGGCCATGTCGTCAAGCAGACATCCTGCAACAAATGAATCGTCTATATCAACAACTTTTGCGAATGTATGTCCGACCTAATCAAATTGTGACGAAAACTTGTCCAAAATTGCTAGTGCTTACAATAACAGTATCCATACTGTCACATGTAGAACTCCTAATGCACTACTAAGGGTTGGAAGCCTAGGCGTCCCATCGATGCACTGACCATAGACCAAATTCAGAGGTTACCCCCAAGTACGCGTCAGTTTGTAGTTCTGTATGAAGAAGACATCAAGAAAGTAAAGGAAAACATACAAAAACCCAATTACAAATGATTGAGCAGGCTAACAAACATCGCCGATCTTCACAGTTTCAAGAAGGGGATTTTATTTGGGTCAAATCTAACGAGTTCTCCTTAAAAAAAATGTGTCTCAGAAACTGCTGCCTGTCTACTTTGGCCCCTGGGAAGTTCTCAAGGTGATTGGAGACGCAGACGGGCCATCCTATCATATTGACATACCTCCACACGTAAGGACGTACCCTGTTTTTCAGGCGTCTAAATTGCTATCTTACGTAGAAAATGATAACTTTCCTAATAGGCTATCCATGTTTCCACCAGCTATGAATGGGAACCATGAAGTTGAGAAGATATTGGAACATGCCTATATCTCTACAGGTGGGAAAGGACGACCTCAAAAGCAGTACAAGGTAAAATTCAAATCCCAACCACCATCTGAAGGTAGATGGTTTAGTTGGAAAGAACTTTTAACCACTGCTCTTGACAAGTTACTATATGAACATGGGTTAGGATAAAATTGTTGTATTTTCTCCCATGGCACTCGAAAACTGGGACGGCAGGAATGCAATAACCCATGCCATATGTCTCGTAGAAATCTGAGGGCCGACCTGGCCGCCCTCAGCCAGGCCAAACACGAGGTAAGGGTCCCCACACAGGGATTCAAGGCCTGGGCAAGCCACAATTGACTTGTGTCAACTCTCGCGATCGCAGCAGTCAAAGTCCAAAGGTATCCAGTCCAGGCCACCAATCACGCACACACACTTGTTTATATGCAGGTACCCAAACAACATAGAGTCCAAGGGGGAACTCTGCAACTATACATTCCAGGCCTTCGGCTGTGACTCAATCTCGCCGGCTGAGGGAAGGAGACTCGAGGCCAGAGTACCTCGTCAAACACTACTTAAAGTTTGTCCTCGAGGTGGTCAGCATTCAGTCTTGCTATGCTGGGTTAACGCTGGCTTGACTTTGACTTGATGCTAGCATTATGCTAGCACGACGCTGGCTGCCTATGGTCTTCATGGCATGCTAATGTGGCACTGCCTCTGGCAAGTTGACGTGGTGCTGCCTTTGGTATATGTGGCGCTGCCTCTGGTCTTCGTGGCATGCTGATGTGGTGCTGCCTCTGGTATACGTGGCATGCTGACGTGGCGCTGCCTCTCGTATATGTGGCGCTGCTATTGGTCTTCATTGATGATGTGGCATTGCCACCTGTCTTGTTTATGACATGGCATTGTCCACGCTGTCTACATGAGGTGACTGGTTGCGAGGAAGAGGAAGATCGGGATTGTGGAGAGATTGTGAATACGTACCTGATTCTCTTCATGTTGACAATGCTCCAGTGCTGACGAGGGACTAATTAGACATGCCACATGGCACATTGAGGTTACTTCAGATACTCGTTCAGACTATCGATTATTTAAGTGGTATTGGAGGAGGGCGCCCGAAGCACGAGTGGGCATTGTATTTATTTCCTCCTTCGTCTGTGTATGATTATCTCGTCTCATTCTGTCTGGACACGATCTTGATTATTGGTATTCATCAACTGTTGACATTCATCTGGACTTGCCTTGTTGATAATTGTCTTCACGATCTGGGTTCATTGCAAAAGAGGAAAAAGAACTAAAAAAAAAACAGAAAAGGGGGACACAAAGCAACAAGCGCGAAAAATGAAAAAAGAAACCACAAAACAACGGTCCACCGAGGGAGAGAGAGAGAGAGAGAGAGAGAGAGAGAGAGAGAGAGAGAGAGAGAGATTATGTTGTGCACTTTACATTGTCACACCTTAATTTTCACGCATCACACCTTAGGTCTGGCACTGGACCTTGAAGTCTTATCCGTAACAGTCTTGGGCACACTTTTCGCTTTTGGTTAGCAAGAATTACATCACATCATTCATCAAATACATTCGACAGCCGCCAATCCCCCAGCCCTATGCTGCTCATGCACACCCCCAGCCCTATGATGCTCATGCGCACCCCCTTCCATCTCCCCTATCCCCCCCTATCACTCAGTCTTCATTAGAATAGAGACCCTCACTCGCTTGTTAATGCTACATCTAGACTGGAAGCTGCCCCACATACAGGGATAATGACCAAGCATTCTAGAAGTTTCATGTCCACTGAGTCAGAGCCTGGAGTGCTATATCTAGACTGGAAGCTGCCCCACATACAGGGATAATGACCAAGCATACGTTTCACGCCCACTGCGTCCGTGAATGCCGCACTCTCATCCAAAGTTCCAGGTCCACTAGATTCTGAGTACTACTAAATGAAATTCAATGCAGTGCCAACCCATCCTAAAAGTTCCAGGACGGGTCCACTGGGGCAGAGATTGGCAGACTCTGTTTGGGACCTAATGTTATTCATGTGGCCCTCCTCTAACGAAGTCCGTGGAGCTAAACTTCGGTAGCAGGGCACAATGAAATTTAGAGCACTTTCGCAAATTTCAGAAAGAAAGACAAAAAAATAAAAGAGAAAAACGGGCACAATGAAAGTTCAAAAATTTCAAAAGCACACAGTTCATGACAAACAATTGAATGATCTATGCCCACGGACCTAAAGCTCATGATCAGAGTCTCGTATTCTAAGAACCCGGTGCATATGACCAACTTTTTTTTTTTTTTTTCAGATCTCAGTTTTAACTTTTAAACGATATTAGTACACGCAATCATGGACCTTTCCTTCTCTACTACTGAAAGATCACGCTCACTCAGTCTGCTCGATCCTCTGAGATAGGCTAACTCTCTTCTATTAAGATATATACCCTATTCTATATTATATTCATGAGGGGCAAAAAAAAGAGCAGTAAAGTGAAATAGCAACAAAAGGAACATCATACGTCAATTCCAATTATRCTCCTTCTCTCTCTATATGTATGCCAAAAACATGCTTAGAGCAATTTCTGTGATTATATTGACGTATTCAGCATACTTGTTATAATAATAAAATAAACAATAATAACTTGATTTTTATCTTAATGAGTTTGCATTATCAATTGATTCACAAAAATAATCATATATAATATACCATACACAAAATTAAATACAAAATAATAAAAATATTAGATGAATCTATAACTTAAACCTATTTGTATATATATATTCTCATATCCTTCATATCATATTATATCATATATATTCATATCTAATGTGCACATAGAATAGAGATCTTGTTAAAAACATTTGTGTTAATAATCATATAATCCTTCGGCCTAACTTTCAAGTTTCCAGTGATGATCTTATTTCTATTCAACAAAATTGCAAGTCAACCATCAAACAAAATAGAAGATGTAACCGAATGTTAAAAAACAAACCATCTCCTTTAAAAGTTAATTATCAAACATTGATGGCTGTTTTGTTATATGAACCTCGACAAATTCAATTTCCATACCTTATAAATTTAGATGTTTTGAATTAAGGGCAACCAACCGTTAGGTCAAAGCCAATAAGACACTAACCCCACCCCCGCGTCCGGGGGGACGTCATAATGGGATCACTCTCCTAAGTACCCAAATTCATGCCGTGAAATGGAAGGCACAAAATCAAGTCTCTTGGGTTAGGCGCGAAGCGCACGGAAAAGTATACTGAAGAAGGATACACCCGAGACTCGTTCTCCGCCGAGCCCCAATCAAGGAGCTTGTAGAACGACTTAAGAAGTATGGAATTGTAAAACGCACTTACAAAGGTTATATCCTTCCTCTGCCAATAAAAATTATGATCCCGATGGACCACGCCTCTTCAAGCCAACAAGGTCACATTTTAAAAGCAAACGACATGGAAGTGCGGCTTCTTGAAACCTCTGTAAACAGCTGATCACCTAACTTTGGTCCAATCACATACTCTTTTATACCCCCTGTGTGCAATGACCTGGCTCAGACAAGGGATCAGAAGTAGCCTGCCGGCTGTCCACCTCCCACTACCCGCTCAGATGAACCAGATGAAGTCAGTCCCTCCCACTGAGCCATCTCTGTTCTTCATCATAATCTGTTCCACTGAAAGATAATGCAAATAGCGTATCACCCTCTCCTCAGACAGCATCTCAGCCTTGCCTATCCAAGATCACCCTCTCCACTAGCAGGCTTGTCGTGAGTGACCAGCCAGTTACAGAGTTAAAATGCCAAAAAAAATTGGGAAGAACATTTCGAGTCCCCTCTGTGTCATCTGTAGTATCTGCACCAGTGAAACACACCTGCATTGGCATACCTCAAGCAGCATCTCAGAAAGAAACAGAAGACATCAGCTACATCGCCAGCAGCATATGCCGCACCATCAAAAGCCTACCTCTTCCCCATCCTTGCAATTCAGTCCATGAGAACGATTACAGACCACCATCCCTCTGCAAGAAGCATCTTCAACCTCAGCCTCGTAGCCATTCAAATCCACTCCGCAGCAATCAATAACGCGGATAAGCTGCATTCATAGGTGTATCCATCCCAAAAACACAATCCAGCCAGCGCATGAAAACGATTAGCAATTTGAGAGAGAGACTCCATGCAGTGTACCCCCAATCGGACGGTGACCGAAAGCAATTGGCCAGGGGCTGCAGCAGCTAATCCAATCAAGAAAAATTTCCAATTCAAAGACATCATCAATCAATCCATCCACTGACATTTCGTTGAATTCAATGTTCTTTTCCAGTGGTCACATTGAGCTTCTATAAATTTTCGAAGTAATTTGCAAGGAAAATGAGCGATAGCGAATTCCAGAAATACAAGCAGCATCATACACATGAAACCAGATAATCTTGACCTTGAACCAAAAGCAGAATTGCAACTCGAGTTTCACCAAATAAGAGCACAGCAAAAGCTCACAAGCAACAATGTTGGAATAGTCTCATCATCATCATCAACAACGAACCAATGTCGAATCCCCATCTGGCGCTCAACGCCCAGACTACAAATGGCAGATGCTATCTAGTCTATCTACAATGCCGCTGATGACATCAACAGCTTCCCAAAATAGCAGATCTCGGCCAATGCCGTTTGCATCAAGCACCAGGTAGGTCCCTCGCTCCACTCACAACCTCGATCCTCCACACAGATGCCACATGCATCCTAAGACCACCATGCACCCCATCCAGCAATGCGCCGTGTGCCCGAATGTCTGGTCAGCGGCCAGGCCCTTTCCAAGTGGCTGCCAGCTGTGGGCTGCCTGGCGAACCTGGGCCTCCCCACGGAAGCTTCCGGTAGGCCCCAAGTGGCTGAGCCCCTGTCCCAGGGAATCTTCCACAAGGCCTGGGATGGTTACCCGTGTCCAACTGCCAGCGGCCTGTGTTCAGTTCATGCCCCGTGTCTGGCCCAGGGCCTCCCTCAGATACGTTTGGATAAAGGCAGGCAGGGCCTGTGCTCACTCGCCCAACTGACGCTGCACAACTTCCTGAATTTCCCCCAACCGTGTCAAACATAACAGGCCCCACGACACTTGTCAGGCCCGCCTTCATTTAGGGCTGCCTTTCTCACTGAAACAGGGCCCAGTTCGGCCTTTCCGAGGCTTTTACCCTCGCAAATTGGCCAGCTGCAGCAGCTAATCCAATCAACAAGAAGCTCCAATTCAAAGACATTCATATCAATCAATCCATCCACTGACATTTCGTTGAATTCCCTTTTCTTTTTGAGTAATCAGATTGAGCTTCAAAAATTTTTCAACCATCTCTCCATCCGCTGAGAAGACTTGACGACGTTCACAACTTCACATCACGAACGGTGATTTTGTCAAAGCGGTTGTTTTATACTTTTTGACATCGAAAAATGTGAAATTTAGAGCGCCCAAATGTCCTGCATTCCAAAAGCACCATACCACCTGGATGTATCTGGACTCAATTGTTCGTCCAGATACATCCAGGCGGTCAGCTTCTCCAGAACGCCAACCCTTCAGGAGCTCATAATTCAAATTTTTCCGGGCCGAAAGAGTCGGCTTCATTCAAAAAAACATAATCCGTTTTTGACAAACTCGCTGTTTGACACGAGCATATCATGATGAAAGGGTGCTGTGGTTTGCTCATGTGGCCATCAGAGCGACTAGATACATCCAGGAATTGCCAGCAAACAGCACCATATGGCATCGTACAGCGCCATATGGGATTCCCTGCAACGGGCCGTATTATGCTCATCAGCAGAGAGTTTCAAAGCTTCCCTGTGATGCCGCCCGTAAACAAGGAGTTGGTGACAGAGCGGGCGAAAAAGAAAAGGACACACTTGCCAAATGCAATCTAGCACACTCTCAGAGCCAGACTGACTTCACTTCACCAACTCGCACTGGACTTCCCTGGATGTATCGGACCGCACTTACGGCTGCCAACGGATTGGCCTGACCCTGACTACGCCCAGAGAAGTCCTATTGCCTGACCTGATGCTATGGAACCGAGTGACACTCGTTTGGTGAGAGAGGAGAAAGAAGAGCAGTGAAACTATCATTGGGACCTGCAAACGGCATGGTTAAGTTAAAACCCCTCTTCTAACTCTGGGCCCATGCCGGTACCGCCGGCATGGTTAAGTTAAAACTCCTCTTCTTACTCTAGGACCATTCTGGAACACCTCAATGACATCCTGGAACACCTCAATGACATCCCGTCTGCATCCGTGTGCAGGGGTACACTACCTCCTCATTCTTCCCTTTTGCTCATCACTCGTCCCCTTTGCCCACGTGCAGGGTGCTGCGGTGTGCCTCTTAACATATTCTTCGTCGTTGCCCATTACATCTCTTCCTGACCACAACTCTCACTTCATGAAGTGACAGTCGCTAAAAAAATGTAAACAACACGTCGGTCTAATAAATGCAGTCAGATACTTCAAAATATCAGTGCTGCATCACGCTTCCGACGTTGTGACCATGACAAACTCTATTGGATATTCTCCTGGCCTCCTGACAGCACTGACAAACACTCAGCATTCCTTTCTAATGATCTCCTTGCTGTGGCGTCCTGTTTCTTTGTGTAAGTGATAGTAGTCAGGCCTGCGTCCTGTGTGATGCGTAACGTTTCAGATTTCATCACTGTCGCACTCGTGCTCTCTATTTCATCAGTGTTGCACTTGTGCAGCTCCATGCTGTGTTTCACTGTTTACTAAAACCTACATTATTATTACAAGTGGACCCGGCCACGGCTACGCCGTGGCGCACAGCAACACTCGCTGATACCCTGTGTCTCTCTCTCTCTCTCTCTCTCTCTCTCTCTCTCTCTCTCTCTCTCTCTCTCTC